GAACTGCTGGCCCCCTGTTTTATGCTCTCTGCTCTATCACATTCCTGGCTGTTTGTCTCATTATTAATAATTATAAAATTATCCCATTCTTTGGGACCCTCAGTCCCAAAAGAAAAAAAAAGTGGATGGGGGAAAAAAACCCTAACTCATTGCTGTTGTGTCAATTCCAACTTATAGTACCCTACCACCAGATTTCTGAGATTTTAAATCTTTGTTGGGGTTTTTTTTGTTGTTGTTGTTGTTGTTGTTGTGTGCTGTTGAATCAGCTCTGACTGGCACAGGAGGAGACTATCCCTCCTTCTCCAGGAGCATGGGGTGGACTCGAACCATGTGCCTTTGGGATTGCAGGGCAGCTTCTTCCCACTAGGCCACCAGAACTCCCTTTAAATCTTAGTCTGAGGTTTTAAATCTTCATGGGAGAAGACTGCACACTTTTCACCCAAGGAGCTACTAGAAGATTTGAATGGCCAGAGACAGTTCAAAAAAGAGGTTTGACCTCAAAAAAAGAGGTCATCTGGTTACAATACAACTAGCTACAGACTGTACGCCAACCGAGCTCCCATCCAGTCAGTTAAAATGTACACTGACTGCGTATTATCTACAATCAATAAAAAAATTAGCATCAGAGGGCAAAACTGGAAAGAATCAGTTCAAAACCCAATTTTAACCAATAAAAATCAAACTCCTCTTTTACCTTTTTGTACTTCAGCAAGATTTCTGACACAGTTCCACCAAATCGAACCGTCTTTCTTGTGGGAGAAGTGAAGAAATCACTCTCTAATGTGAGTATGTCTGAAATCCTGTGAATCAAATTACCACGTGATTAGATGCATGGTAGGAGAAATCATACTTGGTACACTGACTGAATCTATCAATCAACATTACTCAATAGGTAATTACTCAAAGGTCTAAATGGTCTCCCTACTTCCAACTGTCTCTACAATAATTCAACCTTCACTTGTAGCAAGAAGGGATTTAAAATTAAAACAGATTGACCCACCTTAGTCTCTTGCTTAAACTCTCAAATGTCTTCCTGAAGCATGTGGAATAATCCAAACTCCTTATTATGCTCTTAGAAGCCCTATATTAATCAAGCCCTCAGCTCCTTCACTACTGGCTATACTGCAAGGACACTGCAGCAACTGTATTCTTTCTGCTCTTTAAACTTGACAACTTAGTTCTCATTTGACTCCTGTAAACCAGTAACTGTCCAAAGTGGTAATTACTTTGTATCTCTCTCAGGACACTTTTTGTTGTTTTTTTTTTTGTTGTTGTTGTTGGTTTAGTGTTCGGAGTGTGTTGTGTTTTTTTTTTAAATTATTTTGTGTATGTGTGTACCGTCAAATTGGATGTGACTGGTGCAGGAGATTGTTCCTCCTTCTCTAGCAGAGCATCTGGTGGATCAGAACTGCTCACCTCTGAGACTGAAGTGCAACTTGTTGCCACTAGGCCACCAGAACTCACCTCAAGACACTTTTTATCCAAATTTACATGTGGTTGGATTTTCAACTTCCTTCAAGATCAAACATGAGCGAAACATCAGAAATCTCAAGTACTTGTCCAAGTACCATCAAGCACTCTCGCTCTTGTAATAGTTTTATTTCTTCATTATCTGATTATAATCAGATTATAATCTTATAAATTTTACTGACACTTCTGTTGTCTTTGCACCTTTGTAAGCTTGTTGCAAGCAGGGTATCCCGTCTCTTCTGACTGATCACCATCCCAATGACTAACACAGTAAGGTACTGCTGGGTGCTACCAAGTGATTTCCAAATCATAATGGCACTATGTACAAGAGAGTGAACCCATGCCCAATTCTGAGCCCACTGTTGCAATCACTCTGTCAATTCATCGCCTGGGGGGAGGGGTCCTTCTGGAATGCAACGCCTCCTGATGTTGTGTTGGAAATGACTCACAACTGACCTTCCAACATGTTCTCAGAGGCACTAAATCGAGAGGGAAAGGAGAGCGCCTATCTTCCTCCCACAAAGCAACTGATGGATTTGAACTGTATGCCTTTTAGGCTGCCAGCATAACCCCTCACCACTAAGCCACCAGAGCTCCCTAGACCCTCCTGATAAGATGTCCAAAGTATATTAGATGAATTCTTATTATCCTCACTTCTAAGGAGCATTCTAGTGCAACTTCATCTAAGATACGTTTGTTCTTTTGGTAACTCATGGTATGGATGCCCAATATGCTTTGCCAACACCACACTTGAAAAGCATCCATCCTTATTCACCAGGAGGAGTTCTGCTGACAGCCTAACAGTACACAGTTCAAATCCATTTAAACGGCAATGAGTAGAATTTGTTTTAGCATCAATAAACTGAGTTTAGTAAAGTGGTGCTTTAGCACTTTAGGTGCTCAATAAATATTACACATGAGACTATGGTCCACAGCTGTAGAGCAGCTTGGGTGATAAAACACAGCCTCTTACTACTTACTCACTCTAGGGCTCTCTAGTGGCTTAGTAGAGTTTCACAGCCAAATCAAAGGAATGGGGTTCTAATTCACCAGCTGCTCCATGGGAAAAAGATCAGCAATCTCCTCCCATGCAATTGACAGACTCTGAAAATTTGCCAGAGGGCAAACTATAAGTTGGTTCTGATTTGACAGTTTACAATGTACCTCAGATCTGACTCACAAATGACACTGCAGTGGATTTTCAGAGGCTGTAGACTGCATGGGAAAAACCTGCCCATCTTTTACCAGTGGAATAGCTGGTGGATTCAAACTGCCTACCTCTAGGTTGGCAGCACAACTCCGTACCCAGTAGGCCACTAGATAATCTCAAAATTATATTCCAAAAACTTTTAAGGGGATTAGGTACTTTAAAGCTGTCCAGGTGGTTCAACGGTCAAAATTCTACTTTGGGCTTGTTGAAAGGAGGGACCAGTCCTTGGAGAGCGACATCATGTTTGGAAGAGTGGAGAGTCAGTGCAAGAGAGGAAGACCCTCAATGAGCTGGATCGATTCAGTGATTCGAGTAATGGGAGTAGGTGTGTCAGAGACAGTGAGGTTGGCACAGGATAGAGCAGGGTTTAGGGTTCTTGTACGCAGGGTCGCAAGCGACTCGACTATATATAACAACAAGGATGCTAAAAGAACCAAATGATGTGGCAATCAGCTTTTGTAAAAATGCAGAGCGATGCGAAGCCGTTGGGGTAGTTTTCCTATGTCCCACCTGATTCCATGAGCTGGAATCAACACTACAGCAGTGGGTTTGGATTTTCTGGTTAAGAGTCTGTAAACTCAAGAGGTGAACAAAGACTACTAAAGGAATCGTATCTATTTCAAATAAACAAAAATTAAAATGTGCTAGGCCAACACTGATCTGAGTCCACATAACCCGAGGATTTCTACCAAATTTAGACCTGGGAACCAGGTAAGATGGAAAGGAGCTGAGCGCAGTAGCCAGGCCAAGGGATGCTACGAGGGAGCAAGTGAGAGAGAAGACGCCTTGAACAGAGAATGGATGCATTTACTCTTCCAGCCCCCCTGCAGCCTCTAGGAACCACTTCGGGGCTCAGGGTACACGCTTCTGAACCCGAGATGACTCTCTCTCGCCCCTGCTCCCAGTCCCACGCACCAGCTTCACCTCCGGCCCTTTCACACCTGCTGCCCCAACCCTGTAACCCTGAATTTGCTCCTAGACACGCAGAAGGAAAGCGCACCCCTGCACCTTACCCAGTCCTCGTGGTCCCCAGCTTTTTGACTGCAGACGCAGGAGCGGCCGCACTCCCGGGAATCCGCGTGCGGAGCAGCGGACCCGCCATTGGGCCAGACGAGCTCGCCGTGCACCCGCACGCCGGATGTCTGCGCCAGCCACCTCCTCTTTCCCGGAAGTCACGTGCTTATAAGACTGCCGTCAGCCAATGGTAGAGCCCACGTGGGAGGGCGTGGCTGTCTGCCGGCAGCCCCGCCCCGCCTCGCCTCGTAGACGCCCCACCTGTTACTTGCCGCGAGGAGGGATAAACCAAGCGGCTGCAGTTTAAGGAGTAAATCTCTTTTTTTAAAAAAAATCCACTTCCATGACTGTGCAGTTCACCTTCTTGTCAATCATACAGTTGAATACTATTGGATTGGGGGGTTGTTTTGGCTGTAATCTTTGTAGAAGTTGGGAGCGCCGCTGAACTTCATGGATCGGAATTGTGCTGCCAATGCAAAGATCCACGGTTAAAACCCACCAGTTGCTCTGTGGGAGATGGACAATTTCTTCTCACAGGTCATCACGCCTTTCTACCTGGGCTCTTGTCGTAGGTATGTGGTTAGATCAGCTGCTCCGCGGGAGAAAAACGAACAATCTCCTCCCTTGCGATTTGGATAGTACGCATCATCAACTAGACACATCATCAACGTGGGCAGTTCTTCTTTGTTCTATTGGGTTGCTTGCTGTGAGTTGAAATGGACTGGAAAGGAGTGGGTTTGACGTTGTTTCGCTGACGGGGGTTCTTCAAAACAGCTGTTTAAGTGGAAATATCTTCTTCTCCGTCCAAAAAGTGGGAGATCCCGTTTTGATCAGAATTCTCGGCATTCTCATCCACTGTCAGTGGAAGTGCAGTGTGACTTTATGCTGCCAAGCGATTTGGCAAGTATTTTACGTTTTCATTTTTAAAGTTTACGTACAAAAGAATCTCTGTTCATACAAGTTATGAAACATAATGAAATGAACCCTAGGAAAGACACCACCCAATTTCAGAAGCAGAACATTAAGCTATACAGCTGAAACTTCCTCTGTGACACTCTCAGACCCCACTTTCTTCCAAATGGCAATCACCATCCTCATTTAAAACATTCTAGGGAGCTCTGGAGGAAGCGCAACCAGGGTGCTTCTTAGAGGCAAAGATGGTGAACTATCACATCACATCACATACTCTGGCCCCTTTGTCAGGAGGGACCAGTCCTCAGAAAAAGACATCAGATGGGGAAGAGGGGTATAGAGGGAAATGTGCAACAATGAATTAATGGAAATCCACGTTTTCTGTAAATTTTCATTAAAATCACAATAAATTCTTAAAAAGACAATGGATTGGGAAAAATGGAAGGCCAGCAAAAGAGAGAAAGACCCTCAACAAGGTGGATTGACACAGTGACTGAAGCAGTGGGCTTGGGCATGGCAGAGATGGTCAGGATGGTGCAGAATGTCTCAAGGTTCACATCTGTTGTTCACAATAGAGTCCCTGTGAGTTATAGTCGACTCCATGGCACTTAACAAGGGAGCTCTGATGGTGTAGTCCATAGTGTGATGTTAACCAAAAGCATTCCTTTTTCTTTATCCCTAAGCAATATATGACAGGAGAAGGTTGGGCAATCTCCTTCTGTGCGATTAACTGCCTCTGAAAACCCACTAGAAGGGTCAACTATGGGTTAGTTCCATCTTGATGGTACGCAACAACAAGCAATATTAGGTTTACTTTTGTCATTGTGGTTAAGTGCCACTGAGTTGCCTGCAATGCATAGCGACCCTATGTGTAATGGTTCTGAACCCTGCTCTATCATGTGTCAACTTTACTGTCTGTGACACACCTACCCCCATTACCCCAGTCACTGAATCAATCCATCTCACCAAGGGTCTTCTTCTCCTGCGCTGTCCCTCTACCCTCCCAAGAATGTTATCCCTCTCCAAGGACTGACCCTCCTTGCAACATGTCCAACATATGTCAGATGAAGCTTCAGGATCCTTGCCTCCAAGGAGCACTCTGTCCTAGGAAAACCTGTTTGTTTTCCTGGCAGTCCATAGTATATTCAACACACTTCTCCAGCACCACAGCTCAAAGGCATCAATTCTTTCCATAGTGTATTATAATAGTACTATATAAGAGTGTAATATAATATATTGCTGCATATTTATTGCAATGAACATTATTTCTCTTTAATCCATCCCTGTCACACATATGTGTGGTTTGTTTTTCTACACTATCTTATTACATGGAGAGCTCTGCTGGTATAGTCCTTATTCGGTTGTCTTCCTAACCCAAAGTCTGTAAGTCTCTAGTAGTTTAACTCCACTAGCAGCTCTAAGAGAAAAAAAATAGCATTCTCCTGCTGTTAACAGTAAACAGCCTTAGAAACTTCATGGAGAGTCACTATAAGATGGAATTGACTCCACGCCAGGGATTATGAGGTTTACTGTTTTGTTTAAACATCCCGTAATACAACTAAATACACAAGGATTTATTTTAGGGAGGTAGCACAGTCCTTCAAGATTTACACTAACCCAAAGGCCACACCTCTCGTGACTGGATTTCACTGGAGACTCCAGCTCGAATTAGAAAGAAAAGATTTCTCTCCTTCTAGTACAAAAAGATGCTTCTTGGCCCCTGTGCATTATTTACATCACTGTGCATTACCAGACAGTTGAGGTTCTTCATTCCGGAATGAAGTTTTGCTTTGCTCTCATGTACTCAGAAGACTATGAAACTGCTTTTGTTTGTTTTTTAAAAAGAGCAGTCTTCCCCTAGAGATAAATTGTGTAACATTCCCTAGAGCATTGGTTATAGCTCTTGACTTAAAAGTAACTTGAGTAAGCTGAAGCAGAAAAGTATTTAACAGAAATGAGCTTGAAATAGATTAAGCAGAAAAGGAGAGAAAGACCACTGGTGAAACAACAAATGCTGGCAAAGTTGTGGAGAAACTGAAGCCCTTGCTCATTGTTGGTAGGAGTGTAAAATCATGCAACCATTATGGAAGGTACGAGGGTGCTTTCTCAAAATGTTGGAAATAAGGGAGCTCTGATAGCCTTGTGGCAAGAAGCTGTACTGCAATTCCACAGGTGTGTGGTTCAATTCTACCAGATATTCTGCTGGAGAAGGAGGGACAATCTCCCCCTGTACCAGTCAGATCTGGTTTAACATTACATGCACAAAAAAATAATAAAATTTTTCTTAAAAGTTGGAAATAGAAATACCATTTTAATATTTAGGGAATATACCCTAAAGAAACCAGAACTGCCACCCAAGCAGATGTACACACCCATGTTTACTGCTGCTTTTTATACAATAGCAAAGTTGTTGTTGTTATGTGCCGAGTCGCTTGTGACTCATAGCAACCCTATGTACAACAGCCCTAAACCCTGCTCTATCCTGTGCCAATCGCACTACCTCTGACACACCCATCCTGATTACCCCAGTTACTGAATTAACCCACATGCCCCTCCACCCTCCCAAGCATGATGTCCCTCTCCAAGGACCTGTCCCTGCTTACAACATGTCCAAAGTATGTCAGACGAAGACCCAGAATCCTTGCTTCCAAGGAGTAGCCTGGATTAACCCTCTCCAGGATGAATCTGTTTGTTTTCCTAGCAGTCCATGGTACAATTCAATACTCTTCTCCAGCACCACAGCTCAAAGGCATCAATTCTCCTTCTATCCTCCCTAGTCATTGTCCAACTCTCCGATGCATAACAAGTGATTGCAAAGACCATGGCCTGTATCAGGCGCACCTTAGTCTCCAGAGAGACACCGTTGCTCTTGAGTACTT